TCCCCATTACCTGTAAAGCGCTTTGAGTGGAGTGTCCAGAAAAGCGCTATATAAGTTTATTATTATTATTATTATTATTATTATTATTATCTGTGTCCATCCGCTCATTTTCTGCACTCAGAAAACAATGGGAGCAAGATGGGATACACCCTGGATGGGACGCCAGTCTATGGCTAGGCAGACACAAACATAGACCGACACTATACTGTAAGGCACCGTACTACGGATGAGACATAAAACCAAGGTCATGACTCTCCATAGACATTAATTCCCAATCTCATGAAAAAAATAGGAGTTTTGGCCCAGTGCTCTGGTCAAATTTCCTATTGGCCTTTACCAATCATGACCTCCTAATAATCCCCATCTATGAACTGGCTTCATCACTCTGTTCTCCTCCCCACTGATAGCTGGTGAGTGTACTGGCGACTTTGGCTACCGTCACATCACCCAGGTGAAGCTATCCAGGTGGTGGTGGAGGTGAATCCCCATTACCTTTAAAGCACTTTGAGTGGAGTGTCCAGAAAAGCACAATTTAAGTGTATGTAATTTAATAATGTAACTACTCCTACCAATTATTGTTATTTCATCCTCTTTAGCATGGACACGCTTGGCACGACATTAAATCGTCTATTATTTCACCTCTTTTGAGTTGAAAGGTATGCCATCTTGTGGTAAATGCACTAACACCACCATCTTCCTAAGCAACAGCTGCACGGGGTTACTTCCGCTCATTTCAGTTTCATTTCTTCCTCAGGAGTGGAGGAGTTGACAATTTAGAAAAGCAGGAGAAGCGACTTGGTTTGTGCCAAAATGGCTAACGCTTACGCGAGGGTAATTCACTATGCTACCAGCGTCCTGTGTTCCAATAAAGGGTCCATGGACTATTTACAACTGCACAGAAAAGTTTTCCAGCTCTGTAGGATTTCGGAGGAGGATTTTTGGTACATCGTGCGAAAATGCAGCAGGTTTGCTGTAGTGAAAAACACGAGCGAGCGGACTTGGGAAGATGGGCTCAGTCCTCCTGACTGCACGATTATTGCTAAAACATCCCTTCGCCTCTGCAAACATTACACGAAACATGAGTGCTACGATTGCCAGGAGCTTCACCTTTGTAAATATTTTGTTTACGGAAACTGCAGATACGGGAAAGGAAGGTAAGATAAGAAAAAAAAAGCATCACCGTGGATCCGTATGAGTTAAACTGAAGAAAAAAATCGCATTGTAATTAAAGATATGTTTACATTTTTCAACCGATTTGCGAAAATATCATATTTTATTCGTTTCTTTCGCGTTAGTACAAAAGAAAAAGGTAGCAAGGCGTTGCGTGAGGCACCAATCTAATTTTTTTTTAATCGGGAGATCATTTTTGATAGGTTGCATTATACACGTTATACATTTTCCGTAATAAAAAAAAGCTGTTAAGACTCGACTGAGGTGTGTAGATTCTTATTTATTGATTTTGGCTTTGTTAAAAGGGATCATTTTGTGTTTTTAAAACCGAGGATGACGTTCAATGTTTCGATGACCCTACCCAGTTTTGCCTACGTCATAGAGATGCGCCTGGAATAATAAAAACATTATTATTACTGCAATACCTGAGCAGTAACATTGTGTCCGTGGTTAGTAAAAACTAAAGTGCATTTTAATTGTCAGGATTCCACTCGTATTTTTCAAAAATCACGATGAACGAAATGACAATTCAGCGAAACGAAAAAGTGTGCGTCAACACGTAGTGGCCATATTTCGTGTTTTAATATAATTAGTGGATTTATGCGAGTCGATTACAGGAGGAGAACAAAATCACGAGACCGACGTTTAATTTAGTGGACGAAATATACAATTAACGGTCTTTCTAATTTCCCTTTACAATATAACTCTTTACTGTCACTTCTCATTTCAACCGGTTTATATATTTTCTTTGCTTTTAGGAAGGAATGTAAATATTCTCACAATCTCAGATCAGATCACAACTACCCTATTCTCAGAGAGTGTACCCTCCATGAACTGAACGAAGAAGACCTTTTTCTCTTACTGCTGCAGAATGATCCTTCTTTACTCCCTGAGGTGAGAAGTTGTCGAAAACAGTTTAAAAATGCAAGTTGATAAAGAATTCACATTAATTCCTGGTATTGCCTTGTTGTCCATTTCACTACAAAATATGAGAGACACCCACATGATTCCAAAGTGCAGTATCACGACAAAATGTAAGCATAGCCCCTTGCATTTTGAGTTTTGGTGCCTTTTTTTCCTGAAGTGGAATTAAAATCATATGTGTCCTTTCTTTTCCCCAGTTTTGCACTAATGCCCTTAGCACATTTCAGAATAATGTATAATGTGAAATTAACCGGTCTGGTAGTTCTGTACAAATTAATATGGGTCATTTGTGCCATTTCTAAATCGTGCTAAATGTTTTAGCAGCTATAATGGACCACTCCAAAAGTATAAGACAGTTATCATCACATCAATTACTGTCTGATTATAAATGTTTCCCCATGCAAGGATTTTAAATATGCATCTCCAGATTTAATTAAAGATCAAACCTAACTCAATGCTTGCTGTTTTAGGGGATACAAAAAAGGAATACGCTTACAAGACCAAACCCCATTTCTTTCACAACTAGCAAGCAGCAGTGTGTTCTGCATACTGATGGGAATAATTTTCATACAACCTGCGCTATTTTTGGACCACTCCAAAAAGATGGCAGTACACTTTACGGTACATTTCGTATCACAGAAACAAAATGAAAGGCAGTTATTGAAAGCTGCACGGTATCGTCTACAGAAAGTGAGAGAAAAAATATGAAAGGGACCAACATGAGCGAAGCCTGGAATACAGTAATTTTCAGTTTGGCAGGGGCTGAACCTGTGAGTAACCTGAATCTGTTTGAATTGTTGAGGAAGTGGCAGCAAATTGTGAGAGCTCTGTAAAATGTTTTAATGCGTTGGAGTTGGATATTCATAGTGTCACAGGGTTCATGTTTGAAGACGCACAACAGCGGCATTCTTTGAGATGTTTTGTCAAATTCAGTGAATTTGGCATCTAATGCCAATATCTTAGGCCTTGATGGACATCATCTGTGCCTGGTTATCACCCACTGTAATGGGATTTAATCCAACAGTTTGAAAGTTGATAGAATCTGCTCTGTGCAGTTGCTGAGTTTGCAGATATGTATCAACCACTGGGGAAAAAAGATTTAACAGCGTAGATCCTGAATAAACCCAACTGCATTAAAATTTCAGTTACTGCTGTCATCACCAGTCCCAGTTAAAGTCCCGTTTTGCGAAGCAGCTCGCGTGTATTTTGCGCCACATCAAACTGAAACGTTTTGGATGAAGATGCCCTCTGGCTGGATTCTAGTCCAGGTTTCAGTGCCTGTTAGATTTGAGAAACTGAAGGATATCAACCATAAAGAAAAGCGTAATGGGATTTCATCAGCCAAATCTTTTAATGTTTAATAATAATAAAAAAAATAAAAAAAACAAAAACAAAACAAAACAAAAAATGCTCTCCCCTTCTGGTGGCGAAATGGATTGCTGGTTTCTGACCGGAAAGATCCAAATATCAAGGTAACGTAATTTTTTTTATAGCATTATTTCCTTAAAAAGCCTACCAAGAATTAGCCCAGAAAATAACTTCATTAAAACAGTAATGGCAACTTTTACGTACAATTAAGTAAGTGCTTTTAGTCTTGAAGTAAATGAAATAAAAGGCTACATTAGGGTGCCACTATCTTTCTGATTTGTTCTATGATAATATTTAGTTTTGTACAACCATTTATTTTTCTTGTGATAATGTTTTTCCCACAATTATGCTTATGGTGATAATTTGGGTTTTGTGTCAGTAGATCTTTTTATTGGGTTTTATGCAGCATGGTCTTTATTTTTCAGTGAATGCAGAAAATCTCAATAAAGTGGACACACCACAGGGTAAAGAAATTTGTGTTTGGCAAACCTTTTCTCTTGCATAAATTCCCAAATTAATGCGCTCTTCCTTGTTTATTGTTTTTAATGCAGGTATGTGTCCATTATAACAAGGGGACTGGGTTATTTGGAGCTTGTACTTTCCGAAGTACCTGCACAAAGCTGCACATCTGCCAGCACTTTGTCCAAGATAACTGCATGTTTGGCCACAAGTGCAAGAAGTCCCACATGATCGATCCACAGGGCAGGAGAATGTTAGAAGAACGAGGACTCAGTGGAGACATTATTCACGATCTTCCCTTCGTATACAGGAATATGTATAAGTTGAATGCACGCTCTAACTCGGCTTCCAACAGCAGAGGTAAAGAAAAGTCCTTCTTTTTAGAAGAATTTAACTTTCAGATTTGTTTGGATGGGGCTGTATATGTTACATGCAGAACCTCTGTACCTTTTAGTTACGTTTTTAATCATCGATGAAATCAATGTTTTTTCACTTTGTGAGGAAGAAAATGTTATCACGCCAAGGAAGTTCGCATTGTACCTATCAGTGTGAAGAATCCCTAATGATCATTTCCTTAGTAAATGTCTTTCAAAGATGGCTTTAATGTAGGCCAAATGTTATTGTTTCTAGTCACCCCTGTTTTATAGCTTTGTACTCATAATTAATCTAAAGAAACATCTGCATTGAACTCACGAGAACCCTTCATTTTAGCACAGAAGTTAACATTTTCAGAACCAGGGTGAAAGGTTCTTGGTGAGATACTACCTAGAAGAAAATTAATTAACAAAGTAAAGGAGAATATGACTTCAGAGAGGGAAGACCCAGTTTTTATAAGGTGGCAGAGAGATGGTAACTTCACTGGATATTGGGCTTGTTTAACCTTTAAACGAGTGAGCCAGCTGTATTGGATTTGACTGGTAGACTGCCCTGGAGAATTATGCCAGGCCTCCAGTTTATTTGTGTTGAAATAAAGAAAACCAGATCATCCAGCCCTAATAAAATATGTACACGATTTACCGAACACAAGAACCCCATTCTATTACAAATGTAGTTTTTTACTGTTTGACAGTGATTACATCGATTTTTGTTTTAGAAACATCGTCATATGTTTAATCAGCATTTAGTGGAAAATTAATATGAATTTTTTACCTAACTGGTCCTGTTTTTGTGAGTCCAACTTGATGTCTGATCTGACCAGCTGCAGATGATATGATCTGTAACCTGCTAGAAATGTTTAGCGAACGACAATTCTGGTTAGAGAATGAATTTGCAGCACAGTCAGCAGTTTTTTTTTTCATTTCTCCTTTGTCCAGGTTGCTTGGCATTTCAAATCAATAAGCCTTTCTAAATAAGAAAAATAATTGTTTTCCAGAAGGTGGCCAGTCATCATCATGGAAGGCTGGGGTGTCTCCTGTTGTAGATTTGTTTGCTGCTGAGATTTACTGCCATTTTAATTTGGAAAATGTTACGTTAAATATCATGCACAGAGCCCTCATATGTTGAATGTTGTTCCTGTCTGATGCAGAAGGGATCAGTGATAGCATAGCCAGGCCTTCAGCACAAGAGGATGAGAAGCAGGAAATATGTCTCCATTACATAAGGAGAAACTGCACTTTTCAAGGTAAGTCCAACCTTCGCTTCAGGGTCTTTACAGATTAGAGCCTTGTTATTTAAATTAGTCCTGGGTTGCCTATATGAATTAACAGTGATTTGGGCGTGATTTGAATTTGCCAAGTGGACAGGTTCTGCTGAGATTTTTCATGTCATTACAGGTCGATTTACCGTAAATTGTGCTATGACCTTAATTATTCTTCCTGGAAAATGGCAGGAATGTTTATTAGAGTAAGGTTAATCGGGGGGTGGTGTGGTGGAGCAGTTGTTTTCTCCCACAGTCCAAAAGCATACTGGGTACTGGGACAACTGGCCGCTGGTGTAATTGTAGGCGCATTTATGGGTCTGCCCTGCAATGGACCCACCCAGGATGTACCCTTGTCTTGAGCCCATTGCTTGCTGCGATAGGCCCTCAGTTCCATGAGACCCTGAATTGGAAGTAGGGGTTATAAGATAGTTGGATGGACGGAATACGTTATTTGGTGTCTTTTTTTTAAATCTGATTGCTTGATGGAATATTGATATAATCTCGCAGAATACGAGTGCAGTACTAATCAGTATTTGACTCGTCAACAGACCAGTGTTATCGGGTGCACTTCCATTTACCCTACAAATGGGAAGTGTTTGACGGGACGTCCTGGAGAGAACTAAGGCACATGGAAGAGATTGAGAGGGCATACTGTGACCCCAGAAACACACAGAGGTCGGTTAATGTTCTCTAATAAGAGCAGTGTAGTTTTATTTTCTAATGAGAGCAGCTGTGGTGTTAGGGAGAAGTTATATTTTTAATTCATTCATTACAGCTACAGGTCGCTTAGAGAGTTCTCAGCTATTATTTTACTATAAATAAAAATGTTTTGAAAAATTATCAGTTATATAGCACGTATAGATATTATGCAAAAATGAATAGCCTACCTCTTACAATGTTTTGTTCTCAACTTGTTACTAATTCAGAAAAATAATCCTGTCAATAATTAATTTATAATTGTTTCATACCAGCTTCTCTTTTTAAGACTCAACTTGCAGAGTAATTGTTAGCATCTTTTCACTTTGGTGACTTTTGGTTCATCGTTCTCTAGAATTTGATCCTGTTCAGGTGTTAGTTTAAGGAAATAACTTTTAGTCATCATTAAATATAGTGGAATAAAATGGTAAAGGTATCTCTTTTATTTCAGTGACATCCATGTAATGCAACTGCTGTGGTCTTACTGTAGTTCGCACAACCATCCATTATGTTTAGTGGAAGTGAAATGCGATAGCCCTTATATCATGACTGATAACAGATACTTTTCATACTCGGACAACTGAAAGGGTGAATATTTGGAAATTCCCACAAGCTGCTGCAGGTCTCATGTTGCAGGAGACCTGAAATGTTGTGTTTCTGAACAGTGCAACAGGAATGCCAGGCTAAGCTGTAGCCACTTGTTTAGTTAAAGAAAAGCACCAAGCGTTTCACCAGACGAAGCACTTTCATTTCACAGTATTTTGTGCAATAACATCCATTTTAAATTTTTGTCCAACAGTGAGTGGAACGCGGGAGATTTTAGTGCTTGCTAGCTAGTTAATTGTAGGGAGCAATTCAAGCTAGAAAACCCTCAGATGTTACTGAATTAAGGTAGTTTGTCATGGAGGAATGGGCCAGAATCCCTACAGAGCAATGTGAGAGACTGATCACCAATTACAGGAGGCAACTGGCTGCAATTATTTCAGCTAAAGGTGGGCAGCGAGTAACTGAATCTAAAGGGTTTTCCAAGGGTTAACCATTTCACACAGGGACATTGGATGTCTTCTATGAAATAAATTAAACTTTGGTGTTATTTGTTCACTCAAACATTCTGAGGTGAAAATATGCAAAATGTTAGGAAATCTGAAAAGGGCCGAATACTTTTTCATGTCCTTTGATTGTAGTTTTGTGTTAGAAAACCGCAAAATGGTTTGCCTCAGAGGAATCTGGGTATTCAATGTGTGTGTCCTTAGACGTACTTTTTCATTTTCCCCGACAGCAATGGGTCCCGGCCGGTAGACTTTCTGACTATGACGAGAGAGTCGTATCGTGTCCGACGCCTCTCTACGGCTTCCTCCATCACCAAACCTCCACATTATATCCTCACCACAGAGTGGGTCTGGTATTACAAAGGTGACCATGAAAACTGGATTGAATATGGAAAGCCTGTGAGTATGGACTCTAATGTGCACCAGTACACAAAGGCATGTAAAACATGAATGTGAAAAGTGCTTACAGAATTCAAGGGAAAGGTTTGTATTTTCGGTTTCCAGTATGCCTACAGGTAATCAAGAGGTATACTCAGTGAAAAATGTTGTTTTAAATGAGAAAAAATAACAACAGAAACTTAGTGATGCCAACTGTGTGTGAATACTTTTTTTTAATTGTCTCACTTCCATTGCATTATTTTTTCTGACTGTTTGCAGGTACATTTTTAGTATTCTTTTTTTAAATGGCCGACATTGCATGTGCTGTAAATTTAAATGTTTGATAAAGAGAGTGGAACTAAAAGCCTTTCCCTCTTTGCCTTCAGCAAGGTTTCTTTGTTGAGCTTTCCCGAACACGGTGACCTTTCTCTTTCTCAGGATGACAAACAAAGAGTGGCTTCAATCACCTCTAAGGAGCTGGAACTGACCTACCTGACGGATAGCTCAGCAGAAATTACGGTGGTTAAAGGTCATCGAAAGTATGTCCTGAGCTTCAGAGGTGAATGCAACATCTCACTTATTTATTTTCTTAATTTTTTACTCCTCCATGTTGATTATTGCTTTTCAATTCCCAACACGTCCCGACACTCTGATTTTGAAGGGATTTATTTTGTGTTGAGATTTGTCTCCTATTGAATGTGCTTTAGCACCAAGAAACCTTGATATTTCTTGTTTCTTCTTTGTGTGCTGTAATTGTGTCATTCCTAAAAGCAGCTACTATCACACTTCAGATTTTTTGCCATATGTAGTTCATAATTCATTTTTACAGTTTGCTATAGCACATGTTCTACTGAAAATAGTCCCTTACAAGTACTTCTCCAACTAAGGAACAAGTAATAGGTTTATTACATGCTGAAAAAAGAAGAAAGAAAACACAACGTTTCTGCCGTGGAGCCTTCTTCAGGTGTCAGGTGTCTCCACGGCCAAAACATTGTGTTTTCTTTCTTCTTTTTTCAGCATGGAATAAACCTATTACTTGTTCTTTTGCAGCCTATGCATGCTGACGCAGCTACCCACCTGAACTTCTCCAACTAAGCTTACTTCTAGTTCGCAGAGAGTTGAAGATCTCTTTGTGTGTTGCAGAAGCAGAGAAACGAGCCAGATTTGCAATGTGAGCTTTAATGAGCCGCATGATTGAAGCTGACAAAGTATTTTTTAGAGTTGTTTCAAATCCATCTAAAAAATAACTCTCAATAAGGTAAAATGTTTGGAAAAAATAGCTATTATGAAATGGGAGTCTTATTTGTTTCCCTTTAAATGATCTTTTTGAGGGCTCTTGAAAGACATCCTGCGACAGCACTTTTTGCCGATGTCTCAGGTTCCAGCCTGCGTCGAGTAGTGAGGGTTTTCTTTGTATTAGTCTTCTTTATATTATTTGTATTGTAAATACTATTGTATTAGGCGTGAAGTTAAAGGGAGTGTGCTATAATATACAGCTGTGCTTTCTTATGGCCTTGCAGGTATGACTACTTTTCTGTGCTGACGTACCTGGCTTTCCGAACCCACGTTGTTATTCCTCCTGATAAAATTTGCTAGCTGGCAGTGTTTGTCTCCAAATCTTGAACTTTTGAACTACTCAATTGTTGCATTCATGCTGTCCCACCCAGCAAGGCAACAGCATTTGAGTAAGGATATGTTGGCATGCAGGGACGACTGTGAAAGCGTGACAGTTTTTATAGAGCTTCTACTTTGCTATTCAAACCAAGAGCTGGGAGCACCATGGAGTCTATATATATCTTTTTTCTATCTAGACAAGGAAGTCACTTGCGGTTGCTAGAACCACATACTGTCTGCAAGAGCTGCCGAAATAAATATTTTGTTGTTCTGGTGTGGTGTTGGCTCTTCTCTGGGATAGGAAGATTGTGCCTAATGCCTGGATGAATAACGTATATCCACTAGTTGAGTTCGACAGAAGTTTTACTATCAAGGGTAGGGTGGACATGGGTCATATTTGCTTTTGCAGCCTAACAGTTTTTGTGCCAATTCAAAGATGGATGGCTCTGATGACTAAGCGTGTTGGGAAAGCAGACCTAAGCCATCATTCTCCCTGTGTGGATAAAGGACAGTCATCAAATTAACACTGAATTGGGATTTTTTAAAGGCTATGCAGCCGGAAGAAAATACCAAAAAAGCATTTGCTGAAGATTCTTGTTTTGGTTACCATTGTGTTTGTAGCAAGGAGACCTTGACCATTATATGTAATCTAGGTCCTGAAAGGACATTGTTTATTAACAAGTTGGTTCCATGTAATAAAGTCTTACCAAGCTGTTAGCTAAATATCGTTACATGCAAACATAATGATTTCCATTGTCGGCTTTCTCACCTCTTCTTTTTCCTTTATCCAGATATGTATCAACGAAACCCAAAGCACAACACGAAGCGGAGGGTGAGAAGAAGGCCTAGATTTGTTTCTGTGCAAGATGTCGCAAATAAGATCTCACGGTAAAAGCACATCCCCACAGTTTCACTATAGAGGCCTGCTACAGATTAGAGCACAAAGGTCCTGTTCCTCCAGAATTCCAAATGCTGTCAGATTACTCTCCTCCACTTGAAAGCTGAAAAGCAGAAAAATGTTTGAGAATCTAATCAATCCAGTTCCCTCCTTAGGAGGGACACGGACCTGATCTAGTCAGCTGTCCTCTCTATTTTGAGAAATACCTTGGCTTACAAAGCTTTCAGAAGAGAGAAGCTGTGCTTCTCTGCTAGAGACTACAAGTAATATGTGGATGGACTGTTTATGGGAGGAGGAGAAACTGCTCATCACTGCTTGTTTCCTCTAAGATTCACTCTCCTCATCCTGCATGATTCCTATAGATCCAGCATCAATAGTAGCAGCCAAACTATTTACAGACCTTTATGTAACACTATGTTGTTCAACAATGCTTGGCATTAACTCAGAGGGTTAAGAGCCTTTAAAACAGGTACAACAGTCTTAAGAGCAAAGCATGCTTTATATTTTTACTGAAGTTAAAGGAACACTATAGCTCAGATGGGCGGCACAGTGGTTGTTAGCATTGCTGCCTCTCAATGTTGGGGCCCCAGGATGCTGTCTGTGTGGAGTTTGCGTGTTCTCCCCATGTTCACCTGGGTTTCCTCCAGGTGCTCCAGGTGTTTCCCCCCACAGTCCAAAGACATGCTGGCAGGTAAATTGGCTTCTGGGAAGAGTGGCCGTGGTGCAAGTGTGTGCATGTTGGACTGATGTCCAGGGTGTCCACCCTTTACTTGCTGGAACAGGCTTCAGCTGGCCCGCAGACCTAAACTGGGTGAAGTGGTTCGAAAACGGATTGATGGACATTAGCGCAGATATTAGCCAAGCACACAGAGCAATGGTGTGCTCTATAGACATTTACAGCTCACTGTAACTGTTATGCCGGGCCCGCGAGTGGGAAAGAGGGGCGCGCCGAATTAATTGTTCTCAGAGCCTGAGTTGCGGCGAAGCACACAGTTTTATTAGCTGAATGATAAAACCAGCTTTATTAGCTTTATTAGCTGAATCAGTACAATGTTGAGAGGTGGGAAGAAGAGTGGCAGGCAGCTGGGAAGTGTGCAGGGGAAGCAGACGGGAGAACAGCAGACCGTCGGGATGCGCAGGAGAAGCAGATGGTTCTGGGATAGAGACAGGAGGGGTTGATAGGTTAATTGACGAATGATAATCTTCAATTAATGACAACGGGAACCAGGAGGCTGTGAGGGGGAAAAACCTGTAAGAACAATCCTGGGAAACCTGGATTATCCTGGGAGAAACCTGGAACATTGAGCAAACGCACACTCATCTTAGAGACTCGGAAGTCAGAGCCCTGAGGAATGGTTCCTCGGGGTTTAAATAGAGAGCGAGGTTCCTTATCAAGGTCAGTGACTCCGACCCGATCTTGTTTGGGATGGCCCCGATGAGCTCCTTCCACGCATGGAATGTGTTCTGGTGATTGATGGTGTTGATGCAAGAAAACTGGAGCTCGTCAGGGCGTCACAGTAACAGCTTGTGCTCTGCAACTACCAGACTGTCTTAAGTTTATACCTTCTGGGGTTCTTGAGACATTAGTGCAGTAAGCATGTCAAACCCAATGCAACAAGCAGACTCTTCCTGGAAGAAGGACTCTATGCCATCTTGGCTCCATTGTCTCAATACCAGCCCCTAGGGTTTCCATGACCTCAGTAACCTATCAGTTACTGACCTATCAGTAACAGATATGACCAAAAAAGGGATTTATTTACAGCCGTTATAAAAAGTCCTTTTTGCTCTCTTTGTGAGCTCTCGGCCTTTATAATATCCTGAATGAATAAGGATATTCTGAATGCACATGCACAGATACAGTGCAACGGAGCTGCTGTGTAGGATGTGTTTAAAAAGGAAGCTCAATGCCTAAGTTTCTCAAAAAGGATATTGAAAGATGTGTGATGTATTTCATTAAAAAAGAAGCGTTGAAGGAAAAGTGAAGGAATTATCCTGTGTGGGATAATTTTTCTCTTGATATAATCCAAAACAATATGAGTTCTTAAAAAACACATTGTAAACAGAATAATGAGGGTCACCTCCTTTATTAGATATGTATGAGTGCAGTGTTCAAAGGGACATTCTCTCAGCTAAATGCATTTCAAATTTACTGCTTATGCCTCACAATTCAGGTTACAGGGATGAAACTTTAAGTTCATCGGGGTCTGTTGCCAAATTCAGTACACTTGACCTTTGAAAAATATGTACAAATCTCTGCTTGTCCTTGTTGTTGATAGATGTGCAATGTTTTATAGCAGTACTCCACTTAAAAAGAATAGTGAATGATAAATTGGTATGTTACTTAGAGTGTTAAGAGGTCAGTGTCATGCATGTTGCTGCAATGTTCATAAATGCATTCTGTCAGAACCAAAGTCAGGCCCAAGAGTTAGATATTGGTTATTTGTAACAAAATGAGCAGGAAATTAAACCTGAATACACATTTTAAGAAAGCAAATTGAAGTGTAAATATTATGTGTCATTGTCTGTAAATCTTAGGTGCAGTGTCCTGGCTAAATTTAACACTGGGACTTGCACAACCTAATCTACCTAAACTCCCCCTTAATTCAGTTGGTATTGCAATTTCTCTATTTGGTGTACTGTGTATTGAGGGTGCGGGCACCATGTAAATGCAGTCAATTATTCAATATCGTTTTATGGTGTGTTTTTTTTTATTTTTCAGAAAAGGGAGGTTAAAACTACACAGTATATTTGCTATGTACTTTCTGTATTGCCTGTTTTATACTGACAATTATTGCAGATGATGAGACTGATCACTCTTTGTATCACCATCAAAAAGTTCAGTTTCCGTGCACTGTCAATTCTAATTCTATGAGGGTGATGCAGTGTATCTTGTCAATAAACCCAAATGCAGAACAGATGTTTTTGACATTTTTACACCTGCCAACAAACACTATTAAAACTAACGTCTAAAGCATGTGAGAACCCTTACTTTCGGTCCACGTCATTGGAAACTTTTGTTTCAACGTTGCAATAATGTAGCAAATTGTTCAGGTTTGGAGTTGAGATTTAGTGATTTGTACAATTAACCGATGGATAATTTGCTTCCTTTTCTATAACTGACTAGACGTAGACCTATAATTTTCACAATGGATAATTGTTGTTATCAATAACAAAGACAATAGCAATCATCCCTATTTTCTTTGCTTTCTATTAGGTTAATGAAACAAGACAAACCTGGTCTGTCTTGGAGTCATAGTCCTCTGCTTACCCAATAACAGGCTCTGCTCTTTTGAATTACACTGAGAAAAAATGCTATATTTTAGTCTTATAGTCCCATAAATAGCAGAGTTTGAACTTTTTTCCAATTTTATTGAAAAAAATACGTGAAAGGAACATCGATTTCCTCTGTTGCATATTCTCCAGGTTTGATATTTAGGCAGGACTGAGTCAGCTATATTCTGAACAGTTTAAAAGCCTGCAGCTGGACAGACGGTGTTTTGCATTTGTAAGTATCGAATGTAGATTTTTTTTGAACAGCGATGTACTTGCCAAAATAATATCCACGTCTTGCCAGTGCAGAGTAGGTTTTGTATTGGCTTGGAGCAGCTGGAGTCAGTGACTGCTTCTCTTGCATTATTCTGTGTGGAAAGGCTACATGATTGCCACAAGATGACATCCTTGAGTCACACATCCTGGTCCCAGCAAAAGCGCTGCTCTCTGTGCTTGAGTGTCTTGGGCACACCTCAGTGCTGGGTATCTTTCTGTACATAAAATACGTTTTTTTTTTGGTATTTCTGGCTCCGTTTTGTAATGTCCTTATCTGGCTTTGCTCTCTAGTTACAGAGTCACAGAAAGGTGTATGTTACCTGCTCTGTCAAAAAAGTTAAATCCCCTGGTTGAAGAACATCTTTCTCCAGAAAACTCATTTAGTTGTATTTTTATGCTCTCAGCCATTTTCACCACTGACAGTGCTTTCAGAAAGTTTTCAGACCCCCTACACTTTTTCCAAACTCTGTTGTGTTGTAGACTTTTATTTCAAAATGGATTGAATTGATTCTTTTTTGCCATCAGTCAAACACAATACCCCATAATGCCAAAGTGAAAGCATGTTTTTTTGGGGGAGGGTTGCAAATTTATGAAAAATAAAAAACTGAAATCTCTCACTTACATAAGTATTCAGACCCTTTACTAAGACACTCCAAATTGAGTTCAGATGCAGCCTATTTCTTTTGCTCGTTTTTGAGATGTCTCCAGAACTTATTTAGAACTTGAATACTTTCTGAAGTGAATCGCTTCTTTGTTGGCTTACTGACCTGCTGTATGTTATTCTACCAGAAACTGATTCCTCATAGAAGCACAAAAAAAAAATCTTCCCTCAGCAATGCACTAGACAGTCGGTACCTCTTAAATTGGTATGCATTATTTTTTAGAACAGAAAGCAGCAGGATCTAATTTTGGAACACTCTTAATGGGACACCAGTGCCTTTCTGGGCCTCTGCCGTGAAACTGTGCCTCAATAGTGCTAAAATTGCCGCTCTGACAAAGTTTTGTTTTAACGTTTTTCTAAACATTATTCTTTTTTTTATGACTATTGCTGGACAGGTACTATTGAGCCTTTGTGTTGTACTTTTATGACTGCCACCTGGATATCTATAATAAACGGATCCAGCGTCCTTTAATGAATCATTTCGGTTTCTGATTTTTTTTCCTACCTGAACTTTTCCCATCTTCATCTCTTGGGAAGTGGCAATGAGGCAGAACTCTAATAAGTGACCTGAAAAGTGGAAAACGCAATCAACACTTCAAAGCTAAAAAAAAAAACAAACAAAACATGATTCACGTCGACACATTCTGTAAATTAAAATGGCCACTGTCTTAAAGTACATTTCCGCAAAACGTAAGGGCTGAACATCAGAAGCAGGTAAAACAGGATGCTGAGGATAAAGAAGGCACTTGTTTTTAAGATCTCTTGAAGACATATGGATGCAAACTAATTCTATTAAATGTGGAGTACCAACATTCACACCCAAAGGTATAATTGAGATGTAAATTTTCAACACAGTGGTGTTGACGTTGCTGCCTTGCATTACTGGGTGCCGTGGGTTGAATTCCTGGGGTGCACTCTGTGTGGAGTTTGCATGTTCTCTCTGCGTTTGTCTGGGTTTCCTCCAGGTGCACCGGTTTCCTCTTACAGTCCAAAGATGTACGGGTGGGTTAACTGGCTTCTGGGAGAACTGGCCCTGGTGTGAGAGCGTGTGTCTGTGTCTGCGAGTGCTCTGTGATAGACTGGCGTCCTGTCCAGGGTGTACCCTGCCATGTGCCCCTTGCTTGCTGAGATAGGCTCTGGCTATGTGACCGTGAATTGGATAACACGGTTAGAAAATGGGTGGACGTTCAAAACAAAATATAAATGCATCAAGTATTAACATGGTGCAAACACAAAAAAGATTTGCCATTGTGAAGCCTTCACTGTATAATACTTTTAAAAGAACACTTGTAAAATAAACCAATTCAAAGATTCAAAAAAATCTGTACAGATGCGGTTTTCCTCACACATCTCCAGTAGGATTGAAGAAAAAAAATCTATGCCTACTGTATCCGTACAATAAATGTTGATCGGGCATGATATTGGGGGTATTTTAACAGCACAGGCACTCAAGTGGTTAAAAAAAAAAATTGCAACCACATCATGGGAGTATTGACGGAAATGTTACTTTTAACAGAGGAAATAACTCATAAAAGCAATTGTGACAAGACATGTGAAAAGGCTGGAAATTCTTCAAGACATCAAAGCTGAAAGTTCTAGAAGGCTGCTTTGGACTGTTGGGACGGACAGAGTGGAAACCAAATAGTTCATGAGAAATTAAAATGGCATTGAAGATTATGCCTAAAACGAAATGGCCCCCAACTTTCACCAACAAAACGTAATATCTTGAGAATTATCGTCAGCGTTAAAGCTGTAATGAAAGAACAAAAGCGCGGCCCTTTCTCGGATTATATAGCCTTGGCATAACGGAATTTACAGTAATGATGTGATGCAAAGGAAGATTGTTCAGACCTTTCAGATACAGAAGGAAATTGAGTAATTTGCCATATTGTGTATATGACTGAGCAGTTTATCTTTCAATATAACACGCTGTAGGAGTTTTCTACAGATCAAGTAATACTACATGCATAAAATCTAAATTTCTCCAGAAATGTTATACTATGAAAGGATTGTGAGGGAGTCATTGAAAACAATGTATCACCTGTCTATTATACATACAATTGTGACACTGATCTCATTTAAGACAATTTGTGCTGTCTACTTATGTTTTTATCAATGTATTTATTTTTCTGTCTTTTACTCTCTTATTTCAAGACTTCTTAAAATTACTACGCCCATGAAAAATGACTTCAGTGTGTATGATTTAACAGAGCAGAGATGGTCAGTATCTTACATTTCTCTCAGCTGATATTGAAACCCATGAGCACATGGTCCTAAAGCATTTCACCCCATGAAACATCAAGTACTCTTTAATATTAATATCTAAAAAAAATCAAATGTTTTTTTTAAGATATTAATATTAAAGAGTACAAGAACAGAAATCCTTATCTCAGTTCAATGTGAAAATAATTATTCATTTTGCCTTTTCAACAGCTAAAAGAATTAAATGTAGGACTCTTTCAGAGCCATGTGAAATGACCAATAAGGATCAGTGGAAGGTTAATGAGAGGGCAATAGAGTAGAATCATATTTGCACTCATCTGTGCTCATTTTATCAAAAGGAATCTGAAAAGTCAGGTTTAATTCAGCCTTATATTTTGAAAACAAAGATTTTGGCGTCATTTACTGTTTCTAGACTGTGTTATTAAAAGAGGGATTGCATTTTGAAGATTGTTGTATTATGATTTATTGACAGTTTTTGGATTGTTTAAGTGAATATTTTAAAAGCAAAATATTTCATCTCTCCCATCAATACAGGGTTTTAAAATCAAGCACTGTAAAGTATTCTTTAATGAATCATGATTTAGTTTTGATAACCCAAAAAAGGTTTTGAATGACATTGATTTGTAGTGTGAATAGTTTTACAGATAGATTACTTGCTGTTAATGTTTTAATTCAATTAGAATTAATTTAATTGTCATCATTTCCTTAAACTTTTTATAATTTTAGGTGACTTTTAAAATGATTGCGTTGCATTTCTTTAGCCAGATGAGTTATTGGCAAAGTATGCAATACACAACATCTTTATATTTGTTGACTAATTTCATCGTTACTGGAATTTAAATAAAAATATAGGAAATAATTTCAGAAATTGAAATTGAAAATAATGGAACTTAGGGTAAATGTTCTCATGCAAGGGAAAATTATCCTGACGCAAAAGAAAGGAAATTGTGTAATTATTGTGTTCATGATAAGGAATGGTTTCAGACTTCCTAAAAGGACTATTTAGGGTATTTTAAATAGATAAATAAGTTTGAAGCATTAAATTATAATCCCCCCCCTCCCCAAATACAGTATCTCCAGTAACAGTGTAGTACCAGAGGATTGTGATATAGTAATTTGAAACATCTACGATGTACGAAGTTGTGAAACTCATCTGATTGAAGTCATATTTTTTGCACTTACCATAGAAGTACTTTATACAGTATGTTTTTATCAATGTATTTATTTGTCTTTCTGTGTCTTTTTTCACAGAGGCTTCTAAACATTATGATGACTCTATGAAATGTCTTTTATTGCATTTGAATTAAGACAGTATTCAGTATAAGATCTATTTCTTACATTTGAGCTCATCTTGATTTCATTCCCACAAGCACTAGGTCCAAAATAACAAACATCACGAGAAAAGAACAGTTCCAAGTTAATGAAGCAGTAGCATTAAAGATTCATAAAACAAAACACATTTCTTCGTAGAATCTTCAAAAACGACAACTACGAATCACTTTTTTAGACAACACAAAAATAAATTGGGGTTATACAGTATCTTGAACAGGTTTTAATTTCTTGTCTGAGGATATGAAAAAAGTTTCGGGATCAGTTGAAAAATATTTGGGTGGGAAAAAAATAATTATAGAGTAAGGAAATCAGCAAAGAAGGAGGCTAAAGAAACATTTATATTTCATGTGCTTATTTTTCCAAAAGGAATCTGAAAACTAATCTTTAATTTAGGATTACATTTTGAAAATGTTCAATAGCTTGGTTTTGTTTTCTACTTCCTCTATAATACTATTTAGGACATTTAAAAGGATAAATTAATCTGAAACATTAAATTGTAATTTTCCCACCCAAATATCTCCAGTAATTATACTGCCAGTGGATTGCGATATAGTAATTTAAAGCAAAGCATCACCTGGCTACAATGTACAAAGTAGTGATACCCATATCAATTAAGCCAAATATTTTTGCACATACTAAAGAAGTATACAGAATGTTTCGATTAATATATTAGTCTCTCTGTGTCATCTGAACATTATGGTGACTCTCTGAAATCTCTTTTACTGCATTTGAATTAAAAGAGTGTACAGTATAAGGTGTATTTCTTACATTTGAACTAATCTTGATTTCATATGCATGAACACTGGATCCAACACTATTTCATCTTGACTGAAATATGATTTCCAGTCCTTTTCCAGAGTGATGAAGTACTTCTTAAGTAAAATGTAAGCTAACTGTACTATTTCTTCAGCCAGGCAGGTTATCTCCAAGGTGTTAAATACACTACAACTCTATACTTTTTGGCTCCTTTCATTGATATTAGAATTTGATCAAACTACTGACTCTGAAGTTGACAAAGCACAGGTTCCACAAGTGCAACACAAAAGACACAAAAGCTGCTATACCTAAGTCTGAGTCAAGAAGAAAAACATGGAGTCTTAGCCAAAATTATAATTTATTTATTTCAGCTAACAAAATGCCATGTGTAATCATCATTGGTACATTTATAAGAACACACAAGAATGCACAGGTTTTAAATATGATAAAATATTAATAAATAGTTATAACTAACATAAATAATTTCATTTCAGTACCAGTATATTTGCTTTACAGAACTTTGAACTGTAACTGTCAGTTTTATAAAGGGACAGAATATGCTGGTGATAATAAATACAAAAGGATGAGATCGTATTTCACAGCATACTTCATTTCTTCCTTGCTATCACTCATATTCAACTTGTCTTGCTAATTCACTGGAGTTGATCTTGTCCTTAAAGAGTGCTTCAAACTGGGCGTTCTGCTTGGAGGTAAAATGATTCTTCCAGTCACCCACAGCACCTACACATTGAAAGAGAATGGCAAGTTAGAAAACACAATTTCATGACAGTGAAGTGATTTGCATTTACACAATCCGATGTCTTTAAAGTAAGACTTTGGTTTCTTCTACTCGGTGGTTCTGGTAGTTTTGAGAAACATTCTTACTACATGAATAAAAAAACATCTTTTCTTATGACGTTTCATACGGGAAATACTCTTGAGAAATACTTTGCCCTGCAGATTCATTTACACCCTGTTGAAATAACAACAAATTAGCATTTTATAACAGATTGAATTACGGATGGGTTAATGTGTCCCTTGTGTTTTCTGTAAATAGCTACAAGAGGCTGGAAAGTCAGCATTTGATATCCAACAATTCTGCCTTTCAATATTCTGTCTGAAATATTGGCATTTGAAATGAAAGCCTCACCTTTCCTGAAGATCAGCTTCTTATCAGATGTCAGTGCGCAAACTGTGTGCTTTGTGTCGACTTTCTCCTTCTGTGCCTTTTCTTTCATTTCGCTGAAGGAGGATTTCTTCACGATCTCATTGATTTGATCTTCGGAGACGCTGATGTTCAAAAATGAACTGATCTCCTTGACGTATTTTGGGAGGTCCTGTGAAACACACAATGACAGTTTATTTAGTCATTTAGTTACAGCTATCATGTGAACAATTCACAATTATCATTTACACTTGTTTACACCTTTTAGGAGTAAAAACAAAAGCCCCTGTAAGAAGTGACAAGAGGCCATTTGGCTTCCTTATTAGTAGTTCAGGGATGCAAGAATCTAGTCCGACTGTTTTAAAGAAGTCAGTGTATCAGCTTTGACAACATGGCTTGGTAGCTTGTTCCATGCTCCCACTGCCCTTTGAGTAAAGAAGTGTCTCCTGTTCTCGGTTTCAAATACAATTCCATGGTATAATGTTGACATCAATGTTTACTTTATATGTTTTAGAAACTCACCTTCTTCATGGACTCGTAGTACAGAAAAAGTGTATTTTCATCATTTTGATTCTTCTCCCAGCTCTGGACATGATCAATCCAAGATCCATAGACCACTGCAATAGAAAGAATGAAATGTTAGTCCTAATTGGAAATGTGAGGTTGCCGTTTGTTAGACATGATTGTTTTACTCCAGTTTCCATATAGTTTGGTATCCAGACTGTGACTAAGAAGTGGGATTATTTC